TATATAAACATGTGTATCGATTTCTATCAAACTGTACAAGCTGAAACAATAATAATATGCGCGATAATGCACTGTCTCTCGATGCATACGCAGAGATTGGGCACATAGCCCAAAAAAGCTCTCGCGTGCAACCAACCTATTCATACATCCACAACAGTAGCATAATTATACACTTGGATATATTCATACTGCATACAGTCTATATGCAACGTATATACACACCCATATATAACATATATACACGCATACACAACGTATATATACACGCATACACAACGAATATGTACACGCATATACAACGTATATAATCGCGCATACACCTATATACCACAGGCACCTCCACCCTCCTACCTGTCGATCGGCACTACATGAGACTCCCAAGCCCACGGGCAACGAAGCGCCATGGCGCGGCAAACGAACAACCCTCACGTCGTGTGCGAAATACTTTCCGCCAAATTGGGCCCCAATTCCTGATTTTTGGGTCAGTTCGTGGATTTGCTTCTCCATGTCGAGGTCCCGGAATGCACGGCCGCCCTCATTGCCAGTGGTGGGAAGATCGTCCAGGTACTTGGCCGAAGCTGCGCGGATAGGTGTGGTAGGTATGTTAGTGTGTAGGTAGGTATGCCAGTGTTCCGTACTGACCGTGTGGAATGGACAACAGACAAAGGTTTCACGAAGGTTTCTATACCGACTGGGGATGGAGACGAGTAAGAGAGTGATGTGATACATTGCACGCCCGAGTCTTCGTAGGTGCGTGTGTCTTGCGTGTGTCGGCGATCGATTGGGTCAGGGAGTTGACCACACGGCGTGAGTTTATGCCGAGATTCGCGCTGGTGTATGTGCGTGTGCGGGTTCTGATACGTAGGATCACTTGCATGTGCGCATACAGGCATTTCACCGTATATCTGTACTATCCATTTATATAGCCCTGTCCATTTATGTTGTCCTGTCCATTTATATTGCCCTGTCTAATTATATTCCCTTCCGCTGACTTACCGTACTTGACAGTCTTCAGATTCATCTCGGCCGACAGTCCTCCAATCACAATCGACAGATGGTATGGCGGACACGCAGCTGTGCCGAGAGTCTTCACCTTCTCGTCCAGGAACTTGACCAGAGACTCGGGATTGAGCAACGCTTTCGTCTGTTGGAATAAGAAGGTCTTGTTAGCTGAACCCCCTCCTTTGGCCATGAACAGGAACTTGTACTCGTTTCCGTTGGTAGCGTAAAGCTCGATCTGTGCCGGCAAGTTGCACCCGGTGTTCTTCTCGTCGTACATGCTGAGCGGCGCCACTTGCGAGTACCTATTGCGTTGGGAGAATGTAAAGTGAAGGTTTAATGTACTTTCTCTGTGTGTGTGTGCGTGTGCTCAGTTTCACCGTATCAACAATAATGCAAACAACCTGGTCCTTTAGCGAACAGCAGCGATAGGGGAATACATTTGGATTATGAGTGTCTATACACCAAGGCATACCGTTGTATATATATATATCAATATAAGCATATCTATATATATCAATATATATATACATATATATCAATATATATATCGATGTATATAAACTTTTATATATATATATATATATATATATCCGTATATATATATATATAAATACATATGAATAAACGTATATATATATATATATATATAGCAATCATACCTCAGATTTGTCTCGGTGTACGTCTTGAAAATACCGCGTGACAAGTTAGCCTCGTCATTCCCATCTGTCAGAACATTCTGGCCTCGCTTGCCGGCTACAATAGCCGTACCGGTGTCTTGGCACCCCGGTAGTACCATACCTATTGAAAGCAGCAATATAATATTTTAATATAAAAACACAATAGCCATATCAGATGAAAAGGACAATGTTAAATAACTGTATGTCTTTGAGGGCTATTTAGGATGCGTAACGGATATGTTTACGAAACGAAGTATGACTGAGCATGTGCGCGTGTTGTGCTTAGGCTGTCTATCACATAGAAGTGAATAAGTAAGCTGATGTAGATATAAATATATATATATACATATATACATGCATACATACATATATACATATACATATATATATATATACCTTAATATGTATACAT